TTTTTTATACACTCATCTGAAAACAGAGAATATTGAAATGTAGCAATGGTATTAAATTTAAATAAATATTATAAAATGGCTTAGTAAATATAATAGGCTTAAAAGCTTAACAACATAATGTTTCTTATAATTTTTAATAACATAGTCATTATGTTTCTTACTGTTACATGTCTGAAAGCAAAAAATATTTATTAAAATTTCATAATAGTCCTTAAATAAGTATAAACTTTATTTTTTAATTATGAAATATTTACATTTTAAAAAATAATAAATTTTACTTTTATAGATTTGAAATAATTTGATTTTAGAGCGGAGTTTTTTTTTTGGCATTTGCTTTTTTCTCCACAATTTTTTAATTTATATATTATTGCTTATATTTATTACTTTCTATACATTAACTAAAAACTTAAATTATATTATTTATAAATATATATAATCAATAATCTATAGCATCGATTCTAAAACGATTTTGGGGATTCGATCATCGATTCTAAAACGATTTTGGGGATTCGATTATCGATTCTAATTTTTAGAATCGATTCACAGCCCTAGTCCAACATATGCCTGAACATATACAGCTTTTATTGAGTATTCTAAAATGAATGCAAACATTCAAATTGCTTCTGCTAATGCCATTACAATTCCAAAATATCACTTCCGATAAATTTAAATGATATTCGTGTCCCAGGTGCGGATTTGAGTAATGGAGTTTTTATCAATTCACAACTTATAAGAGCTGATTTAATAATGTGAACTCTTCAAGGTGCGAATCTTCAAAATGCAAACCTTCAAAATGCGAACCTCGAAGGCGCATCTCTTCAAGATACGAATCTCGAGGGTGCAGATCTTACTGGTGCAAATCTTCGACGTTCAGATCTTCAAGGTGCAAATATTCGTGGTACTTATCTCAACAATACAAATTTTGAAGGTGTAAACCTCCGAATTCAAGATTCGCAAGGGATTGTCCCCAAATATAGATTTCGGAAGTATATATTTCTAAGGCACGAGTTTTTTTGGATTCGTATTGATTCACCGACAATCACTTCAAAGACAATATACTTCACTGACAATCATTTCACCGACAAGCTTATTTTACAGACGATTGATTCACCGACAATCAATTTACCGACAAGCTTGTTTTACTGACAAGCTAAGTTTTATCGACATAAAAATCACCGACAATTACATTACCGACATGATTAAATTTACTGACACGCTCACTTTACCGACACTAAAATTTACTGACAAAACATTTCACAGTAAATACCATTTACAATAAAATTCAACAACGCACAACTTTAATATTATTAACATAAAAAAAAAGATTGGAATTAATATCCAGTGAAGAATTGTGATATTTATGCAAA